CTCTCTCTCTCAAATTAAAAAAAAAAAAAAAAAGGAAGTAAACTAAAATAAAGTGCAATAGAACAGACTCTCCTAATTTCTTTAAACTAGTCCTTGGATAGGATTAATGTCCCAGGTCCCTCATTTCTGCAGATGCCAGATGCCCAGGCAGCAGGGCTAAAACTAGGGACAGGCGGTTGAGCTGCCTGCCTGGGCCTGGCAGTGAGCATGAGTGCCACGTGAAGGTCACGCACCCTAGCACCTTACTCTCCTCACCCTGGGCTCGGCCACGCAGGGCAGCATTAGCATCGTCTTTCATTTCAGTCTTAAATGGAAAAGTAGATTAAGAAGCTACAGACCCAACTGGAGTTTGCAGCCATGTGAACAGTTCTCCTTTGTTAGCCGCACACAGCTGAGGAGGAAATTAACAATGAGGAATTCACATTTGGCAAGAAGTAGAATATGAAAGCCTGATTGCTGGCTTCCTAATGGACAAGGTTATTTTCCTCAACAGAGAGCGTTAGGTTGCCCAAGGAACCATCTGCAGGGTCCGAAAGCATTTAGGATCAGACCCCTCTGCCAGTGTTAGCCTAGTCCACTGATCTGGAGTAGGATGTGAAATTCTATTCTGGTTGTTTTAGCTTTAATCCACTGAAGCCATGGTCCAAGGGCTGAGAGAGGGATCAGGGGCCATGTGTCGCTGATTGGGCCCTATCTTTTGGAGAGACCTGCACTCGCTCAGAACAGCCAGAAGTATAATCTTCCTATCACCCTAGCAGGGACAGAACGGCCAAACCAACAGCAAAGGGGCCTGTCTTAGCCCCAGCCCTTTTGGGTCCCAGAGACATCACCTCCCCCCCCCCCCGCCCCACTCCTTTCCCTGGCTGTCTTGGAAATGCTGTGCTGCAAACAGGGCTGCATCTGTCAGCTTTTCACCAGCAGGCTGTCTCTCCTTCCTGTTACAGGAATCTGAGAATCGTTCAAATGAGTGGATGTGTCACAAAGGTGGAAAATGCACATCTGAGCTGAAATCAGGACAGCCCAAACGAGCAAAATTGAAAGCTCTAAGGGACGAGCTGACCTCGAAATTACACTTACCCTGTGCTTCCCCCACCCGCTTCTCCTTTCTCCCTTAGACCCAACGTTGAGAAAAGCTAGGACCTGACAAAATGTGTGGCTTTTCCCTTCCAGCCTTGAGTGGATGCTTAGAGGAAACCCGTGAGACCCTTAAACACTGGGTTCTCTGCGGAGATTCTCCCAAGGGCTGCTTGTGTAGCATGCAAATGGAGAGGATGCCGTGAGGCCGTTTACACAAAGGATGCCTGGTATTTGCATGTAATTTCCTCATGCACCCGGTGCCACCCCTCACCAGACCATTTATTCAAGTTAAAAGCATTTTTATGGCTCTCTTGATGGCAATCACTTCTGGATTTTTCCTTTGTCTGTGCCGTCTTCTCCCTCAGGCCCTCTCCCTGGCCCAGATCTCTGGCAAGGGAGCCAAGTGGCGCCAAGGAAGGACCAGAGAGGAATGCAGGACTGGCCCCCAAGAGGTGGCTCCTCCAAGGCTTGGTTGCATATCTCTTCTTTGCCCTGGGCACTGGCTGAAGTTCTCTTTTCCCAAACAATAACACTGTGATTACATTGTAGAAAGTGGGACTTGAACTCAATTCCCAGAAAGTCTCTTTGAGCTACAATTTTCTCCAAACTATCCCCTATCCCCTTCTCTTCTGCCTCATGAGCCTAGGGGGCTGGTTATCACTTCTTTTTGTTTTTTAAAATCAATTGAAAAGAATTTTTTTTTGAGTAGGTTCCACACCCAATGTGGAGCTTGAACTCACAACCCTGAGATCAAGAGTCACATGCTCTACCGACTAAGCCAGCCAGGCAACCCTATTGCTTCTCTTTATTTTAGTTATTATTTATTTATTTATTTATCTATCTATCTATTTATTTATTTTTCCTACTATTTCTTTTTTAAAGATTATTTATTTATTTATTTGAGATAGAGAAGGCGAGCAGGAGTCGGGGGGGGGGAGGGGCAGAGGGAGAGGGAGAAGCAGGCTCCCCGCTGAGCCAGGAGCCCTGTGTAAGGCTCAATCCCAGGACCCTGGGATCATGACCTGGGCCTAAGGCAGACGCTTAACGACTGAGCCACCCAGGCGCCCCCCTAAAGATAAATTCTTAATAAAATAAAATTACCTGGCCCTCACTGGCTGCTGTGAAGAAGCAATGAGCGAATCAAGGCTCAGTTAAAAAGAAATAATAGGAAAAGGGGCGCCTGGGTGGCTCAGTCGGTGAAGCGTCTGCCTTCCACTCAGGTCATGATCCCAGGGTCCTGGGATGGAGCCCCACATCCGGAAACTGGCTCAGCAGGGAGCCTGCTTCTCCCTCTGTCTGCTGCTCCCCCAGCTTGTACCCTCTCTCTCTCTGACTAGTAAATAAATAAAATCTTTTTTTTTTTTTAAAGATTTTATTTATTTGACAGAGAGAGGACACAGCGAGAGAGGGAACACAACCCGGGGGAGTGGGAGAGGGAGAAGCAGGCTTCCCGCGGAGCAGGGAGCCCGATGCAGGGCTCGATCCCAGGACCCTGAGATCATGACCTGAGCCGAAGGCAGACGCTTAACGACTAAGCCACCCAGGCGCCCCTAAATAAAATCTTAAAAAAAAAAAAAAAGAATTTATCTTTGAGTAATCTCCACACGAAACATGGGGCTTGAACTCACAAGCCCTGAGATCAAAAGTCATATGCTCTACCGACTGAGCCGGCCAGGCACCCCAGGGCCAGGTTACTTTACAGACGAGAAGACGGAGAACTGGTAAGAGCTTAGTTCAAAGTTATGTAACTGGTTAGGGTCTTGATTTGTCCAACTCAAAGTCAGTGTTTTTTCTCTGTCTCCGTTTCTTCAGTTGTAAAATGGGGGTGTTAAGAGCACGTACTTCATAGGGTTACTGTGAAGGATGAATGCTTTAATATGTAAAAGCGTTCAAAATAGGGCCTGGCAGAGAGAGTGTTCAATAAATGTCCACTAATATTACTGTGCTATGCCTTGTTTTTCTTTTCTTTTCTTATTCTAAGCATTGGATTCCTGACTCATTTGTGGGAGGAGGAACCAGTTAGGCTTGGACAGTGTTATCTAAGATGAGGAATGAACCCGTTTCCCAGACTCAGAGCAGGCTGAGCTGGGACCAAAACAGATCCTTGCAAGCAACAGAACTGAGCTGCCCTATTTACCCACATCCCCGCCTGGCTCTGACTGAGACCCTCAGATTCAGAGAAACCCATAAAGAGGACGGTGCAGGATGTTGAGGGCAGGAAGAACAAAGGTTTCTGAGCAGAGCCCAAGATGATAAGGCAACATTTTACTCTGCAATGTGCTGAAGGCCTTCTATTTTGAGGTGGTTCTAGATTCTTCATGACTGATATTGTACCTTACTGTTACTATAAGGTAGGGCCTGCACGTGGGGAAAGGAGTATCGAGAAGGACATCAGTTCCCTCCCAGAGATATGTCCGGAAGCCTTCCAGTGGTTAGGGCCAGGGGCTGGAGGGAGGGCTCTGAACTCTGCCAGGTGCTTGGGAGAAGGCTGCCCACCAGCTTGTCTGGGCCAGGGACTTGACCTGTAGCTCAAGGCCCTCTTACAGCATCAGTCAATATAAATAACAGCAATGTGTTCCTGCCATCCTGGGACTCTGGAGAAAACCAAGGCAACTGGGCTTCGGTGCCTTTAGCACCAGGTCTGTTGCTGAAAAGAGGGCAATGAAAAATGCAAAATATAATCAAGAAAGAGCTAGACTCTATAAAAAGGCTTAGCGAACCTAATCAAGGGAACTGAACACTCCACAAACTGTACTTCAAACATTGTGAAATGTTGTTGAAGTCATGTTCTAGCAGTTGAAATTTCTGCTGATCAGTCCACCCTCTCAGAAAAAAAACCCACTAGACCCACAAATAAAATAAAAGGTTTAAAATACAGATGTCTATAATTAAGCTTTAGAACGCCTTCTGCCTGTCCAAGGCTCCCACAGTCTTGTGTGTTTTTATCAAGAGGGGCCCCTTGTTCTGCCTGGCCCTGTTCGCGTTCCCCTGGGTTGACTTTTCGCACGCAGGCCTCCAAAGTTTCCAAAAGATGCAATCAGAGGGTGGATGTCTTGATCTTATCTTAGGCTGATGCTCTCCAAACTTCAGAGCTACAGCAGCCGCCTCAGGGACCCAAAAACAGAGTGCATGGAAAGAGTTCGGCGCTCTGAAAGGAGCTACGTGAGAGGGATGGCGACATCTTCCTAGCGGGTTACCGGCATTGAGTAATCTCCCCGACCCCTGGGAGATGGGATCAGCAGGGCACTTTGGGGCAGAGGCGCTGGAGGGCGAGAGAGATGCTCACGCCACGCAGTCCTCTGCTGCGAACGCAGTCGTCTGCGGCGAACGCACTGG